GTTCGAAAATTCGTTATGGGCTGCCCTGACTGTCAACGCCGCAAATCACCGCCTTTCCACTCGTCCGGTGCGCTTCAACCGCTCCCGTGCCCTGCCAAACCTTTCGATCGGATCGGAATTGATCTCTATGGCCCTCTACCGACAACATCAGATGAAAATCGGTGGATCATAGTCGCTGTGGACCATTTAACACGCTACGCTGAGACCGCCGCCCTTCCAAGTGCCACTGCGCGGGACGTAGCATCCTTCATCCTTCATCGCTTCATACTAAGACATGGTGCACCTCGAGAGCTACTAAGCGACCGAGGTCGAGCCTTCCTATCAGAAGTCGTCACGTCTCTGCTTTCTCAATGCCATGTTGTTCATCGCAAGACCACTGCATACCACCCGCAAACTAACGGGCTCACGGAAAGATTTAACCGCACCCTTGGCGATATGCTCGCCATGTATGTGACATCCGATCATACTAACTGGGATCGCATTCTTCCATTCATCACGTTCGCATATAACACCGCGGCACAGTCTACCACTGGATTTTCACCTTTCTTTCTTCTTTATGGACGCGAACCATCCCACACCATCGACACTCTCCTTCCATACCATCCTGACGCATCCGAATGCCCATCTGTGTCCAAAGCTGCCCGTAATGCGGAAGAGTGCCGTGAACTCGCACGCACCTTTACGTCGCAAGAACAACAGCGCCAGAAAGAAAACAACGCCGACTCTTCACAAAGCCCCAGCTATTCCTCGGTATCACTTGTATGGCTGGCTGTTCCTTACCAAAGCCCCGGCATATCCTCAAAACTCGTTCCAAAGTACGAGGGCCCATACCGCGTTTTGGAGCAAACCTCGCCGGTGAATTTTCTCATCGAGCCACTTTCCCCATCTGACGACATGCGCCGGCGTGGACGTGACATCGTCCACATCGCCCGCCTTAAGCCATATCATAGCCCTCTGCCTCCAGACTCTTAGGTCGCCAGGATGGCTCTTTTTCGGCGGGGGCAAATTGTGAAGAAGAAAACGCATCGTTGGCAAACAACATCGCCACCGCTTGGGTACTGGGTGCTTGGCTTCGCTCGCTCGGCTCGTGCTGATCATCGCCGGCATCTGCTCGACCGTTGCTCTTGTCCGATCGTGTTTCATAGTAGGACCACGATCGCAACAGTCGCCAATAAACCCTTTTTCAGGACATACATAGTTTCAAACATTGCCCAAAATGTTTCAGGTGATATACAAATAACACACTTCAATTCAGCTGTTCAATGCAACAATTCGACAGGGCAGAAAAGAAAACCTTATTACTTCGAAATTTAGTATAGTTGAAGGAAAAGGACATATTATACCGATATTTTTTTCTCCTAAGTCACTTTTCATTTCGACATGGTTTGCACCTTGCGACCTTTTTTTTTTGCAATCGTCAGTTTGTCGTTTAGTATCTGGACCTTTTGCTTTACATTCAGAATAGTCCGTTCATTGTTTGCTGTTTTTCACAGATTGTTGAGCAGTGTATGCGTCGCTGCACTCAATACAAGAAGCATCGCTTTTGATGGGGAATGACGTTAGTCACAGAGCTCAAGAAATCAAAATTATTCAGTGCTTGAGACGCGAGTATTACCAATGCTTCCTTTTGGTTGACCACTGCAAAAAATTTTGAAGCATACTTGTCACCTCTCAGCTTACTGAGAATAATTTCTGTGAATTGCACTGCAATAACAACGACAGCTTGTGGGAACTTCAGCCCACCTTTTGACATACCTGCAATGAGTACCTTTTCATTTCGGTTCAATTCTGCGTTCTCTAACACAAGGTTTTCCTTACGAACTGGACCCATAAACTGCTTCAGTTCACCACGTGCACAATATCCTCCAACATAATTCACAGCAGGCATCCTAGAAATTTTTTCTCGGCGTCTGCATTAGTAACTTTAACACGAAACATTTCATAAAGTGAATCATAAGTTGCCTTTCTGACAGGACGAGCTATGACTTACAAGTCAAGAATATCGAGGACATTTTGCGGCCTCAGCTTGCTCTTAAACTCAGAGTCTTGTTGAACTGAAACATGATATTGAGAACCGCTCAGTTGGTGATATTTTTCAAACCGTTATTGAAGGGAATCGGTTTGAAATTTCCCAATCAGCACATACGTAAAACCCTGGTCATGTAAATAGAAAAGCAAAGTTTCATGCAGAGCATTACTGATGTGGCCGAGAGCCATGTGTGTTTCCGATGTGAAATGCCCAGAATCGTGCCTAAGACATTCCCAGTAGTCAAGCCACTGTGGAATTTTCTTCAAAAATTCCATCTGAGGGCAGAATGCAGAAGTTATTGGGCGCTGCATATCATCACGCAGGCGCACACCTTTCCTTGCTGTTTTGACATTCATTATCCTCCACCAAGTTGGGATTGTGGCCGTAAAATCAGCAGTTCCTTTTGCATGTTGTAAGGTCGTAGAGTTGAGTCAGCTACATTTGACTCTTCAAAAACATGCAGTACGTACTTGACATTTTGCTCTTCCATGTCAGATGAGTCCAGGGCATTGAATGACAAAGTAGTTGCTATCTTTAATAGCTCATTTTTATTGGCATCATGCAAATCGCGAATGGTTTAAATGATGCTGTGAGGATAGCTGGTTTGTGTTCACTGCTGTTTAAGTCAATATAGTATATGCATTTTCCAAAGTTCCTTTGATTCAGACATCATCATCATCATCAGCCTGACTACGTCCACTGCAGGACAAAGGCCTTTCCCATCTTCCGCCAGTTAACCCGGTCCTGTGCTTGCTGCTGCCAATTTACACCCGCAAACTTCTTAATCTCATCTGCCCACCTAACCATCTGTCTCCCCCTAACCCGCTTCCCTTCTCTGGGAATCCAGTTAGTTACCCTTAGTGACCAGCGGTTATCCTGCCTACGCGCTACATGCCCAGCCCATGTCAATTTCCTCTTCTGTATTTCAACTATGATATCCTTAACCCCCGTTTGTCCCCTAATCCACTCTGCTCTCTTCTTGTCTCTTAAGGTTAGACCTACCGTTTTTCTTTCCACTGCTCGCTGCGTCGTCCTCAATTTAAGCTGAACCCTCTTTGTAAGTCTCCAGGTTTCTGCTGCGTAGCTAAGTACCGGCAAGGTACAGCTGTTATATACAGCTCTTGAGGGATAGTGGCCATCTACCTGTCATAATTTGAGAGTGCTTGCCGAATGTGCTCCACCCAATTCTTATTCTTCTAGTTACTTCAATCTCGTGGTTAGGCTCTGCGGTTATTACCTGCCCTAAGTAGACATAGTCTTTTACAACTTCAAGTGCACTATTACCTATCTCGAAGCGCTGCTCCTTTCCGAGGTTGTTGTACATTACTTTCGTTTTCTGCAGATTAATTTTAAGACCCACCTTTCTGCTCTCCTTGTCTAACTCCGTATTCATGAGTTGCAATTCGTCCCCTGAGTTACTCAGCATGCAATGTCATCATTTGAGAAACAAGGCAATTGTTTCTCAAATACTTAAACACGTGAGTGGTGTCGAAAATAAAAGATAGTGGCCGAGACGGATGACCTGGATCGCTATGTACAATCCTTTGCTCAGGAGGGTTAGTGAAAACCTTCATTGCTTTCTAACTTATTGAGTCTATCGAGACACCTGCTACATTTCTAAACCAAGTAAACCCTACGTCAGTAAATCTTTCCCTTAAGAATTGGTGCAAAGTGTTTGAGCAAATCTGAGTGGCTGGCATAATATGAGCATCATATTTGTGATTTGACAAAACGTTCTGTTCCATATAAACACGTGCTGTTTTATCTGCAGAGAAATTGTTTACAGCAGCACCTGCGATGAGGCCATCTTTGTAGTCAAAGTATGCTTTTATATGAATCTCATCTATGATCAGAGTCACAGTTGATTCGTTCTCTTTCATCACATTCAAAATCAACTTTGCATAATTAAGAGAACAAGAGTCGTGGTGCTCTGGGGCAGGGCTCTCTTGATACGATGAACACAGGTGCCTCTCAGTAACAGGGTGGGTAATTTGACTTTCATAGAGCATCGACTGAAGTTATAAGCATGCGGCAATACGGCAAACAGCAGCCCTGCAAAAAGTAGCGTCTCTGGCAAGAAGCTCAAAGATTTGTACAAGTAATCTCTACTAGATCATTCCCACACTGATCCACGCGTTTAAATCCTGCAAAAACACGGTGCAGCTTCTGCACGGTTATACGCGAGCAATGCAAAACCTGTATTGTGTACCAGAGTTTGGAGAAAAAGAAAAGATTACTTATGGTGACCCACGTGAAAATCGAAAAGTCCCATCCTCCACTTTCTCCACTTTTTCCCCCAGATCAGTGGCTTGCCGCGGCCAGTACGGCTCACTGCCACGATAGCATTCCATTTGCACAACCAAATAACTCGCAGGCTAATTCACTAATGGCATGTTGGCAAGAACGTCTGCAGTAGAAGGCCGATCCCCATGCCAATATCCAAAGTATTTTTCTCAGTTTACCGAACTCCTCTGGCCGTACAAAACTGTTTTGCATGTGGGGTAGCGCTAATGGCAGCCAGCTGGCTAGAAAAAAAGATGACGAGCGCTGGTGGCTGGTGTCCCGAGGTGCCTAGAACGTTCGTTTGCTTCTAGCTTGCTGGGTGCCACAACCGCTGCTCTACTTTGGCAGCTCGCTTCCTTCTGCACGTCTCGCTTGCTCATTTATTCTGCGTCGACTGCATGTCTGCGTCGGACGCCGTCACGTCGCTACCAATTGGTGAGCACGAACACACTGACAAGCGACTGACGCTGCCCAGCTGCCTCCGAGCTCCACGATTATGTTCCAGCCAGCGCAAGCCTGGCAGCCCCAATTCGACCCGCCACTGCCACCATTTTACACCTCTCACCTAGAATCATAGTTTGAGGAGTTTGCGGCGGCCTTTCATCACAACGGCATCTGGAGCCAAGAGTTCATGTACAAGGTATTGGAATATCATCTTCCATATGACCTCAAACGCCGCCTCACATACCTCTGGAGCCCTCGCCTGTACGATGATCTGCGAGACGCCATGCTCAACTTTTACAGCATCAAACTTGATGTTTTTTCCAAGGGTGACACCACGGCACCTGACTCATCACCTTCCGTGACGCCTTCACACCATGGCCACTCTAGACAATTGTCCTGCCGGCTACCGCCTACGTAGGTGATGGAGACTACCCTCCCGCTTTAATCTAGCCGTTTATTCAGAGAACTACGACCCCGGAGTTCACGGATCCTGTATTCGGTGTGCCGGTTCTGACACCAGAATCACTGCCACATCTCTTCGTGACAGATTTGACGCCGGCTGCTTTTCCGGACGCCGTTGGATTCACCGCAAAAACTTATTCAGCTGCGCCAGCTGCTCCTGGCAATTAGACAATCCTAGCCAAGCCAGCTGATCAGCCTGCTGAGTCGGCGCCTGAACTAACACCTGTGGAAGCCCACGACACCACTCACACTATGGACCCAGAGCCCGCTTTCAGGCTGCACGCCATCAGTTTCCCCAGCACACCAGTGCCTGCTGCTCAAACCCTCATGGACTTCCAGCCCAAATACGACTTCTCAAACGTCTCAGATGGCAGCCAGAATTGTTCAGACGCGCCAACAATGATTTCCTCCCATCTTTCTGGAGAGCCGCTACCACCTACCTCGATGTCTCCCGCAGTCAAAGTTCCTGCCCGTGACATGCTACGGCTGAACGTTCGGGATGCTTCCACAATGGCCGTAGACCACGTGGCAGCATCTTCAACAACCGAACAGACCCCACTTCTTCAACCAACCACTATGGTGGGCATCCACGTGATTGTGCTGACGAGTGCTAGCACACCTTCCAACTCTGTGGCAGAGTTCATGCTTTGAGGCTCCTCAGCCATGCTCCAGAGCCCTTCAAGGGTGACAAGACGTCTGCACTGTCCAGTGCACTTCCTCTGCTCCCCAACATCCGCCCCCAGAAGCGGCTGGCAACCAGAAAGAATGACTGGAGCACAACACTCGGAACGCGCTCCACTGTTTCAACGTCACTGACAGCCCCCGACAACTGCGACAACACACACCCACCATATCTCACGGCGCACGTGAGCGGCTCTCCTGCTGTGCTGACGCGAACGCACCGAATGATGTCCGGCGCAAGACGAGCAGTTTATCACTCGTCTATACGACAGACAACGCAGCAGCCGCGGCCGGTGACGTGTCACCCCCTTTATCGTTACTGGCCCTGTAGACACGCTACCTAAGTCGCACTCCCAGCCCGGCGAGGTTCCGTTCACCAGCCACAACTATTCCCGTCAAAAGCTCCAGGTCTGGTTGTAGTGCATCAACGCAACCACCGGAACCACGGCATCTGCTGTATGTTCAGGCTTCGACGTGCTGCGCTTCGAAATCACTCGACTGCCTACCTATTTCCACGTTTTCGGTTTCGCCCACTTTTTCGAACAGCATGCCTACGTCACCATCCTCGCCCTCTGCGTGGTTCCCAGTGCTGCCCACCGGAATGATCAGACTCGATACGTCAATTTTATAATAAATATTCAATCAAGTAGGACAACAAAAATTAGGAATAACGGAGAATGTCTTCATTACATGAATTTAGCCGGCAATAGTGCACTTTTATTCTCTAATGGCTTTGATTGAAGAAAAAAATCTAGAGATGTAAAATAAAGCTGCGCTAAAGTAAGATTAAAAACCGGCCCGATGAAAGCAAAGATAATGTGAAGCCGCCTAGAAAAAAGAAGAGATTGAGAGTAGCACCCAGAATAGAAGAGCACGTATACGTGTTGCTGCTTACACATTGAAAAGCCACCCCTGCCGTGCCAGTTTATCACTTTCACCAAAACCATATGGTTTGGTTGGCTCGCGAACGTTAGTCATTTGCAATATTGCCTGCTAACTAAATTACCGCAATGTTTTAGGCAGAAATTTCAAAATACTTCAGTGATATCTTACTACCCCAAAACATTACTAAACTACGGCACGTAACCTGAAAAAATATTATGAGTGTTACCACAAGGTCTCAATTTCTACATCCAAACAAGGTAGGTGCGTACGCACGCATTGCTCACCTCAGGGTAATATTGAAACTTAAGAGAATCTTGTATGATAACCTCGCACGTGTGCCCATTTCATCGGTCATAATACGAGCGAATGAAAGAAACAAATTACACAAAGAAAGAATGGTCAATAGCGAATGAGCAATAAAAACAGAACACAAATCTGATGAAATGTTGAGCACTCCACACATGGGTTATGTGAAGGGAGCGAGTCTAGTATGTTAGCACTGGGCTACTGGCGGCTCGCTGCGTTGATCTGTGCCAAAAACGATGCCTGACTACTGCCGCGCATCCGTCATGGTGGTGGTGGTGGTGGTTAGAGGAGGAAGAAGATGCCTAATTTCTGCAGCCCAGTAGAAAATACGACACCGCAGTCTTAAATACGATTTTGACTTTCCTCCACAGATGTCAACTGACCGGTTAAAACCTGGTCCCGCTATAACGATCATCCATCCGTCGAGCCAGCTAACTGAGCAAGGAGCGGGGAGGGTGGCGGAAGTCTATTCTGAAGAAGGCTGAAAAATGGTCATTCTTTCATGTTTGAAGCCCGTATAAGCCTCCGCCAGAGGTTTGCATGCCTCCTCTAATGGAGTGTTGTGTGTGGACACGCAGTTTTAGAAAGGCTTTCGTCGACTATTCAGTGCGCGAACGAGGCCACTCGAGGACAAGGCCGCCTCTATATTCCTCCTACCTCCTGTTGAACCCTTGCTCATGTCGAACGAGATAATGAACCACCTCTATTTGTCAAGATGGTATCCCCCTCCCACACACTGGCTTGTGTAAGCCATGGGCAGTAGAGTACCACAGCCCGTGCATATACTAACCAAATGATTCTGCATGCCATAAATTTCATGAGACACCCGTCACATCGCGAAGACTTGCGTGGGCGGAGTATATGGTTGTTTGCCCCCTTTTAATTGTACCCAGCCTTGAAATGGGTGAGGAAACTGAATAAAGCATATAAAACAAGAAAAAAGAAGGTGGGAACACTCGTGTACTTTCCATATTGTTATCCCGAGAACATGTTAAACCTTTTTAGATGAATGGTAATTCTAACGTATCATATACGTTAGAATTATATATACCACGTGGCCTTTCTTGTATCCTCGCGAGCGTGCGAGAAACACCGAGGTGCCCTGCCGTCGGATCATCGTGCAGGGCCTGCAGGAGTTCTGGTCGCAGAGCTGAAGGCACCACAAGGAGGTACTTAGCTCGAAGCGGTGAAAAGTTTTTCTTTTGTAGAAGACCGTTTCGTAGAAAGAACGACGCAAGTGCGCGCTTGAATACCTTCGGGACTTCGGCGGTCCTGCCTTCGAGGTATTCTATTAGGGCCTTAAGTTCCGGGTCGGCCCACTGTCGTTCAGCGAAGTCGTTGGTAGTTATCGTTCCCAAGAAGTAGTCGTCATCCGGGTCGTCGAGTTGCGGTTGGTCGACAGGCGCACGAGAGAGACAGTCGGCGTCGGAGTGTTTTTTGCCGGACTTGTAAATAACAGTAATGTCATATTCTTGAAGTCTTGGGCTCCATCGTGCGAGGCGACCTGAAGGGTCCTGCAAAGTGGCTAGCCAATACAAGGCGTGGTGGTCGCTCACAACTTTGAAGGGCCTGCCGTAGAGGTAGGGGCGAAATTTCGACGTAGCCCAGATGATGGCGAGGCACTCCTTTTCTGTTGTGGAATAATTTGCTTCTGCTTTGGATAGCGATCAGCTGGCGTAACTATTAACCCTTTCAAGTCCATCAGCCCTCTGCACAAGAACGGCGCCAAGACCTACGCTGCTTGCGTCAGTATGTATTTCTGTCTCGGCGAATTCGTCGAAATGAGCAAGTAACGGAGGCGTCTGGAGGCGATGTTTAAGCTCCTAGAAAGCGTGTTCCTGTGGCGTGTCCCACTTGAACTCCACGTCGGCCTTGGTAAGGTTAGTGAGAGGATCGGCGATGTGGGCGAAGTTTTTCACGAACCGCCTATAATAGGCGCACAGGCCCGGAAATCGGCACACGGCCTTCTTGTCATTGGGCGGCGGGAAGTTGGCGATGGCGGCTGTTTTCCGTGGATCGGGACGAACTCCAGAGTTGCTGATAACGTGCCCCAGAAGCAAGAGCTCCTCATACGCAAATCTGCACTTTTCTGGCTTCAGTGTGAGTCCGGACGTCTTGACGGCTTGAAGTACAGCTTCAAGGCGCCGAAGATGCTCGTCAAAACTCGAGGAAAACACGACGACGTCTTCCAAGTACACAAGGCAAGTCTGCCACTTCAATCCTTCCAGTACTGTATCCATAACGCGTTGAAAAGTTGCAGGCGCTGAGCAAAGGCCGAAGGGCATCACCTTAAACTCGAAGAGGCCGTCCGGTGTTATAAACGCCGTCTTCTCTCGGTCTCTTTCGTCGACTTCAATTTGCCAGTAGCCAGTCTTGAGGTCCATCGACGAAAAGTACTTGGCGTTATGGAGCCGATCAAGTGCGTCGTCTATTCGTGGGAGAGGATACACATCCTTTCTTGTGATTTTGTTCAGGCGGCGATAAACGACGCAGAAACGTAAAGTCCCATCTTTTTCTTCACTAACACCACGGGGGATGCCCATGGACTCTTGGACGGCTGGATAATGTCATCCCGCAGCATTTCATCTACTTGTCTCTTCTTGGCCTCACGTTCTCGCGTCGAAACCCTGTACGGACTCTGACGGAGTGGTCTGGCATTTTCTTCGGTTATGATGCGATGTTTCGTGATTGGGGTCTGCCGAATTTTCGATGACGACGAAAAGCAATCTTCGTATTGCAGGAGCAGGGCCTTGAGCTGTTCTTGCTTATCGTTCGGAAGTCTGGGATTGACATCAAAAGCTATGGGAAGGGCTTGGTTCCTCTGAGCAGGTTCCGCAGAATCGGCGACGGCGAAAGCACTGGTGGCTTTGACAATTTCTTCGATGTATGCGACCGTTGCTCTTTTGTTCACATGTTTGTACTCATTTCTGAAATTCGTGAGCATAACCGTT